AAATCCTTAATTATACCAAAATACCAAACATTCTCAGTTAAAAACGACCTGCTCTAAAATCATGCTATCCTAGTGGAAATGGCTTGGTTGTTTTTGATATAGCTCTGCTTTGTTTTAAATGCAGAAATTAAAGTTTAACAGCTGCAAGGAGATTTCAGTTCTCTGCATAAACCCTGTGGATTCTCATCTGACTTGCTGAATGATTTGCAGGAGGCCATTCCCCACTGGTCCCTGACCCTGCCCAGCACCTGGGAGCTTCCCACAGTTTTCTCTATAAACACTCAGCCTGGATTCATTTTACAGAACATGGCTCATTCTCACCTTCCATGTAGGCTTGATTTGTAGTTCTTTGTATGCAAATAACTGCCCAGGGTTCTAAGAGTCTTGCTTGCACTAAGTGAAGAGTTTTAGTCCCAAGGATCTACTTATGTAATTCCTCTTCTAATTATTCCTCTCTATTTACTCTCAACATCCACATCACTGACACATCACTAGCCATGCATGAAAACAGCCCCAACTAAGAGGTTTTTGTCCGTGACTGAAACTGAGCTACTTTTTTAACTGTGAAATGGATGAAAAACCTTGAGACTGGAAGGGAGAGCTGAAAAGCCCAACAGTGAACTCTTCAGTTATCATATCTAGGAGTGTCAAAGTTGCAATGTCTGTGAAAAGTTTCATAAGAGTTTCCTCTAGATACCATCAACAATTTCAGTAACATTCTGTGAGGAATTTTATCCTAGAATTGTTTCCTAATTTCCCAGGTACACCAGTTGCAAATATATCCAATTTCCCATTTCTAATTTAGTTAGCATAAAAATAAACCCAAAACAAAGCAAAAGGAAATGTTTAGGCCACCATGCATTTGAAAGCCCAGGTTTAAAATTCAGTACACTGAAGTTTTAACTGCACATAAGGCAAGTAACTTCTGCTGGCACATTCTGTTAGATTATAAGCCAACTTTCTACTTAGCTTTTCTATTTTTGGATGGCAGCTGTGTTTTTTTGACTAAAAACCAAAAAGAATCTTACAACAATTTCCCATGCTCAAAGAGCTACACTTCACTCTTTTGGTTTGTCTAATCTGGCTTTCTGAACTTCTGAATTGGGCCATTAAATTGGATTTCCTGAAACCCAGAAATCTTAAAAACAAAAGTATCTATCAGTAACACCTGATCTCCTGAAAGACTGGGAAGTGAAGAATAATCAAAGAGTGAAAACTACCAAACCTCACAGTATTTCAGGGAGACAAAAGACGTTAACCAGCCCAAACAAGGACTTAAAGGTGGTTTTTAAATTATGTTTAAGTCCTTCCTGTAGCAATTTCATAACATTGATCACCCAGCAACTAAAAAGCCATCCTGAGCCACCTCTAGCTCTGCTGGGGACAATGTGAATACAGCAAGAAAGCCACTGTTGTACAAAACCTTCCAAATTAAGTAGGTCCAAGAGTGTAGTAAAATTTAATAACAACAGATGCCATATAAAAACCCTATACATAAAAAAAATTTCAACGGAGACAAGTGGAACAGTAGGATGCATTTACACCAACCCTGAAATCAGCTCACCACACTCCGTTTATGTGCAGGGGCCCTGGAGAGGTGCAGATTGCAGAGGGATTAGTAACACAGCAGGTTTCAAAAACAGATTGTTATGATGCTTGCAGGGAAAAAATAAGGGAGCCTGATTTCTGAGAGGATACTTTTGATAAATGAGTCTCCCACGGGCTGGAGCTATTCTTAGTAGTCTACAAGAGAAAAAGCAGTTGATCACCTGTTGCCATGTAAACCAAATTCAATCCATCATACACTTTCTCCAGAAGGGTTTCAGATGTGAGGGAACAGACCAGGAGGAATGCAGCTATGATCACATCCCTCTGTCATGCAAGTCTGGCACAGTATTTAATCCTTTTAGACTGGGCCTGCATAAGCAGCAGCACAGACAACTGCTGTGTGAGGAGAACAATGTTCCCTTCCTCGGGGACACCAGGAGCACAGGAAGTCACTTAATTAGTCTCTCAGGCCACTGAGCTTTTAGAACAGACACTTTGCCAATTAATTTTCCCTCATCTGCAGCAACTCTTGTTTTTAGGTTTTCTTTCAGTTTCTTTCACCCATCAAAACCACCTGCTGTTTGCAGAGCAAAACCATCATTCTTTTTTCTTCTTCTTTTTCTTCTTCACAGCTCCTGGCGGCACAGAGTTCTCTCTGTGATTGCTGTTCTGTCTCTCCTGCTGGCCATTTGCAGACACCAACCGAGGCAAATCTTTGCAGATCTGGTCACACTCTGCTGGGTCTATTATTTTCTCTTGAATATTATTCTCTCTCCTAATTTTCTTCTTCTTCTTTTTTTTCTGGTTGGGCTCTACATAACCCTGACTCTGATCCTGGCTGGAGCCCTGGGACAATGCAGGGAAAGCACTCTGCTTCAGAATGTCTGCAGCTGACACGGCAGCCTCCTGGCACCTCTGCCACTCTTCATCACTGTCTGTGTCACTGGAAAGGCAACAAGAGGGAAGGAAGTTGTGGTGCACTTCTGCCTTGAATTCACCCAAAACCTGGACAGCAGAGTAATCTGAGATAAGAAGACACTAGAGACACCCAATGGCTCTGGGGCTCCCACACCCCCAGTTTGCATTTAACCAGTCTGAAGGTCAGTGTGTTCTTTACACACACCAGGAGGGGAAAGAAAATCTCCCACAAACATTTCTAGTTCCCCAGCATTAAAAAGAAACAAAATTCTGGTCTAAGTCAAATATAAAAGTCATAAATAGAGACTTCTCAAGCTCTTTAGCTTCCTATTCCCTTGTGGGAGTCCCAGCTGCCTCTGAAACGTGGCATGCAACAGTACCTGAGGAGAAAGCAGCTGCCAGCACCTCACCTGGAGCTAACTGGCCTCCTCCTCCCTGCTGCAGGGCAAGGCTCTGCTTTCCCACAGTCTCCAGGGACAGAGGAAGAGAAGAGGCGAAAACCTGAAGTGTGGAAAGGGGGGTTTAGGCAGAATATAAAACAGAGCTGGAAGCAATCTCCTGCTTGACAGCAATTGTTTGGGACTGTGTGAGAGGAATTGGGGCACAGAGGTCAGAGCTGCAGAGTAACAGCCCTCACAGACACCACCAGAAATCCTTTCAGTGCAAATGTTTATTATCAGGTGGAAGTACAGCTGGTGATGGACAGGATCCATCCCACCTGCCAGCAGCTAACAGGCACAACACAGCCACCATGGCTGGGACTGGAACTCACCATCATCCTCAGAGTCAGACTGTGCCAGCGAAGTCTGTGATGGTCCTGAGGAGTCCTTCAAGACAGTGATGAAACTAAACAGAAAACCCCCGTCAGATTTCAAACTGAGCTGCAGTTGGGTATTTCTGGGAATCAAGACTAGAGGGAGATGTTGCATAGATCCTTTACTGTTAGTGAGGCTGCCTCAGCTCCCTGTTCCCAGAGCAGACCAGGCCTTCTCTCCTCAGCAATGAGGAGAGTTTAAAAACAGAACAAGAACAGTTTAAAAACAGCATTTCTAAAGCCAGCTCTGAACAGCAGGAACTCCAGCTCTGCAGGGATGAGCCTCACAACAGGCAGAGTGGCAGCCCAGCACCAGGCACCCTGCCAGCACAGCCCTCAATCAGGTGCTGGTGCAGACTGCAAGAACAAATCAAAGATTCTCCTGCCAGCCTTTACATGATGGAAGTCTCTTTTCTCCCCACAAGATGTTTACCACAGAGGCAAATGAAGACAACCAGTGCTGCACAGAGAGTTTTGACCAGATGGGCACAGCACATCAGCAAAATCAGGTCACAGAATATTGGAAGCTTGTACTTAATACAGGCATGAAGCAGACAAGATGTTGAATTTCCTGGGTTTAGCACACAAACACCTCAGTGTAACTGAGGCACAGAACACAGGTTTCAAGCCTTGCATACCTGTCCAGCATGGCTCCCAGTTTCTTTGCAACGTGTGCTCTGAACTCTGGAGTGGTCTGGAGCTCATTGTCACCCTCCTGGCGGCCGATTGCCTCACGCCCGTTTGAAATAAGAACAAGGATTATCTCTTCTGAGGCCAGTAACATCTGGCCCTCTCACCCAAACCCTTAAAAACATTATTCGGTTCAGATTTAAGCATCATTTCAGATTAGGTTGGACTAATTCCCCAAACAGAAACTTCCCCTTTCAGTATGAAGTATCACAAGGTACAAAGTAGAAACGGCATAAATACCACACATTAATTTATTCTTCAGGGAAACATTAAGTCTGAAAGCAGAAGCAAAAATACCTCAGGCTTGGCTGATCTTTAGGCTGCAACCGATCCTTTTTAAAGCCCCCTGAAAAGAAAGTAGCAAAACCACATCTAGAGACCTGAGGCCAGAACTCTTTAACTCCCACCAGGTGCGTGTTAGAGCATAAAGAACAACGCCTGAGACAGCCCTGGCCCACCTGGGGAGAACAGTTATGAGGGGAAAGGGGAACTTCCCTCAGGCCAGGGCTGCAGGGAGGGGGCTCCGGGCCCGCCTGGGGGCCGGACATGGCCTGGGGAGGGTCGGCAGAGCCCCCTTCACTTCTGGCACCGGCACCGCGGCAGAGAGGAATCCCCGCGGTCAGGAGGAGCCGCGGAGGGGCCGGGCCGGAGCGGCGGGGCGGGGAAGGGAGAGGAGGGCACGCCGCAGCGGGGGAGCAGAGCCCAGCCTGACCGCCGCCTCTCACCGCTGCGCGGCTCCGCCAGCGCGGTGCAGTCCCAGGCAGCCTCTCGGAACCGCGCGGCCGCTTCCCCGCCGCTGTCCGAGTCCGAGCCGGTGCCGCTCTCCGGGCCCGAGCCGCCCCTGGGCGCCGCCATCTTGCAAGCGCAGGACACGCTGGGCGCTGTGGTCCGGCCCGGCGCATGCCGGGAGCTGTAGTCCGGCCGCGGTGCATGCCGGGAGCTGTAGTCCGACACGGCTCCCATAACCGAATTTCATAAACTCATCCTTGTTTTAATCAGCCTCTGGAGGACACGGTTCAAGTCTTTAGGGCCCTGGTAGCTTTCTAATCAGTTACTACGCTGACATGAAAATGTTTGGTGGCGTGTGGAAGCTGTGCCCAACTCTGCCGCTTTGCTGACAGGCTGAAAATACAGAGTGCTGCTTTGCTGGAGATTATCACGGCTCTGCAGGTAGGACTGCTGTGTGTGCCTCTGCCATCAGCACCGTCACATTACGTGCTACATTTTCATTTCAGCTTGAAATTTTCTGGTGTGATACAACAACGTGTTTGGTGATTCCAGGTGGGCTTCTGGATAACCATTTTGCTGTGGGTTTTGCCAAGCCTACATGCTGCTGAAAGCAGCAGGAAGACTCTGTATAAATGTTTTTATCCTGCTGGACATTTCCTGGCTTGCACCTTCCGACCTTCCCACTAGAGCTGTGCAGTCTCGGCTGCCTGGCAGAGACAGGCTGCAGACAATATCCTTGGGCTCTTTCTTGGCACTAGCTTCCCTTTGTTTTTTCGCTATTTCCTTAGGAAACTCACCTCCTTTAGTGCAAGACCTTGGTTTAGGATTCACCCATTCTCCACTGTGTAAAAGAACGAGCAATTTTGGGCTGTCTTGTCCCTCAGAGCTGGGACAAACCCTCCAGAAATGCCTTCTGGGGCAGGGCACCTCCCCTCCCTCGCTTCGGTCCCTCTGCTTCTTTGGTTCCTCACAACTGTATAAATACCTCCATCAAGCTCTAAATACTTTATCAAGCTCTCTCTGGAATTTCTCAGCTCAGATTCTCTCCATCCTGAGTTTGTTTCTCAGCTCAGATCCTCAGCACTCTACACTCGTAAGCCAACAATTTGCTTCCCTCAAACTTCCGTCCTTCCCTTTCCGTCCTTCCCTTTCCGTCCTTCCCTTCCTTTCCTCGCTTCCTGCTCGGGCGCAGCCCTCGGTACGAGCCCCTGGCAGTGCCGGGTGCCGCCGTTCGGGCGCGGCCCGGGCAGCAGGGCCGGGTGGCGGCGGGGCCGAGCGCGGGCCCCGCGGGG